TAAACTACCATATTATTATTATTAAATAATAGACTACTATTAACAATAAGAAAAATTTATTAAATAAAATTTGTGATCACTTGAAGTATAGATGACTCTTTCTGGCAAATTTTCAAAAATATTGCCAGAAGGAGTCATCTATACTACAAGTGATTACAAATTTTATTTAATAAAATTTTCTGATTTTTATATTTATATTAATAATAAACTATAAGATGTATACTAATAACCTTGTAATTGTTTTAGTTCATCTACTAGTGGTCTCAAAAAAAAATTAAAATTTTTGGTGCTTTTGGCCCTGGGATAAGTGCAGAAATCATTAAGTTTTTACGTTGAACACGTATTTCAGGTGGTAAATTTGTATTTATAAAAAGAATAACTCAGCAGTCATCTCTTTGTTGGCAAAAGATCTGATATCCATCAGTAGATGCCATTAGTGCAATATCTCGGTAGTCTAAAAAAAGTCCAGAAAAAACTAAGGATTTATATTGAAGACTATAAAAAATATCACCTATTTGGTTGCCAACTATATATTCTTGTGTTGAAGTATATGTATGTCGATAATGAAGAGCTTTAGCTCAAATTTTGTCTTTATATTGTTTTTGAAGTGAACTTATAATTGACCAGTAGGCAGCAATTTTTTAGGTATTCTAGATCCTTTGTTAAGCTTATAATGAGGCTCATTACATTCCAGACAATGATTTTTATTAGTAAGCTCACCAGTAAATGCTATACATGAATTAGTATAGCAATCTACTAGTTTTGGTTTAAAGGGTACAAGATTTTTGAGAAGCTTTTGAAGTCTATAAAGTGTAACTCCAGAAATCTCTAAAGTTCTAAGAATTTCATTAAATGCTGCCTCTGAAATATTATAATCATTTTTAATTTGAAAAAGTTGTAGGCTTTTAAATAAATTTTCTAAAATAATTTTTAGATTTATATGAGTAGTATTAAAGTAAAGTTATATTTTTTAATAATAAGCTTACCAAAATTTATATATTCACTATCAAATTCTTTATTATTGTCCTCATTACTTTTCTCCTCACTACTTTTCTCACTAGCTTCTCTATTATCTTTCTCATCGTATGCCTTAGTATACTCCTCATTATACTCCTTATTATACTCCTTATTATACTACTCATTATGCTCCTCATTATACTCTTCATTATGCTCCTCATTATGATCCTCATTATTCTTTTCATTATACTTCTTATTATACTCCTCATTATACTCCTCATTATACTCTTCATTATAATTTTCACAATCTTACTCATTATAATCTTCATAATCTTCCTTATTATATTTACTATTATTACTAAAAGTCTCTTTTTCTTCTATAGTTTCATGATATCCTAAGTCATCTGGCTCTTGACTGTTATATGATAATAATATTACTGGATGGGGGTAATGATATTGATCCAACTGCTGAAGAAATAGAAGTGATTAGATATCATTATTGAGCAGGTATATTTGTTGAATTAGGCCAAGTTGTTTTTTGTTTTAATGAATATCTTGCTCAGGTTGATCTACTAACTAATTTGCCATGATTATCTGATTCTCGAAGACACCAAACACATGTACAAATAACTTTATCCATTTATATAAGAAATAATTTTATTACAATAAAAAAAAAAAAAGTTATTTCTTATATTGTATATTGCTATTTATTCAAATAATTATACACTTTGATCATAAAAAAATCAATAATATTTAAAACTGATACGTTAATGATTAAGCATAAATAAAATTTACCTATTGTTTTCTTTTTCTTACATTTTTTATTTTCTTTTGCGAATATTAAAAAAGTGTATAAGTTACTATTTATAATTGGATCCTATTATAAAAATGCCACAAAACAACTTTCAATAAATATTCATACTCTTAGTATTGAGCAGTATCATCAGTTCTTTCTTGAACTATTTGACAAAGATCCAACTTTACCTAATTCACTAAGCTATAAGCAATACCATCGATTATATTCTGTATTAATTGCAATTGAACCTTCCCTTGCAGATCCACTTCTAGATGCACATAGTGCTCTACGTGGTGTAATTAATAAACAGGTTATTTACTATTTTTTTTTTTTGTGTATTTTTATTTTGTACTAGTTAATGCATAAATTTTTATAGTTTCCAAAAGGGTAATGAATATAAATATTACAAAGAAGCCCAAAAAAAAATTGAAAAGGATGTTCAGTGGTATGAGTTTTTAAAACTTGATAAAAAGCAATATTTGAATTTTAGAGTAAGCTTTTACAGTTATTGTTATTACTGCATATTTGATTTTTTATATTATTTTATTATTATTATTATTATTATTATTATTATTATAGAACGATTTGTGAAATCATGCGGCTTCTCAGTTCTTACGTGGTATATCATTATTTCATAAATCAAAAGAGAAGGCTGAAGAAGTTTTAAAAGAAGTAAGGTTAAATTTTTTAATATTTATAAAAGCAAAGGAAGTTTATATTTTAATTATATATTATAGTTTAATGAAGTGAATTTAACATTTCCATCCTCTGAAGCTGACTTTGTTCTTCATGATTGTCTTACCTTATATTGTAATAGCATAATCATAGTAATGCAGATGAGACCTATGATAATACACATGATTCTTTTAACAACAATGGTGAATGTGTTAATAGTGACAATGGTAATAATAATAGATTTATGTTAGTCATTATTTAATTTAATATATATATATATATATATATATATATATTTATTTATAATATTGAGGTATATAGAAAAATAATATTAGTTTTGTACATATACCAATTTCGGATACCCCTATCAAGGACGTACTCTTAATTGATATTTATTATTTGGGTAGATATATTATTAATAGAGATATCCAAAATGGTATACAAAGCCGATATAAGATTGGAATCTAAAAATTATTTTTGTGACTTTTGATCAAGATGACACAGATAAGAATGCACCTGAACCTGATAACTTAACAACTACTGATCACAGTCAAGATAACACAACAACCACTGATCCTATCTTCAGTCAAGATAATACAGCTCTTATA